AAGCGCTGCGACCCGACGCAGAGGATGGTGATGTCATCGACGAAGGCGAACAGCTGGATGCACTGGCACCTGTCGCCAAAGAGCCGCAGGCTGCGGAACATGAGGACCTTCAGCCATGATGTCGCGAAGCCGCAGCCCGCCAAGATGCTGCAGGCCAGCTCGACCACGCACGAGACCGCGTCGTCTACCTTGCACCGCCGTGGGCCTGCATAGATGCTGATGCTAGCGCGTAGCAGCACCAGGTTGGCGCCACTCGCGCAGCCCTCGTCCCAGAGCGTCTGGTGGCCCACTCTCTCGTAGGCCTTGGTCATGTCGAGCTGGTTCGAGGCCGTGACCATGCCTACCTTGAGGGCCCACTCCTGGTAGACGGCCTGATCCCAGACGGCCCTCTCGGCCGTCCTGCCGCTCGCGTTGTGGAAGCACGGCAGGTCGTGCTCGTCCTCCCACTGCTGCATCTGTGTCCGCCGCACCTTTGTCCATATCCGAAGGAATCCGCCTAGCAAGGCGATGGGTCTCACCCCGCCCTCCTTCTTGGCGAGGAAGACGATGATGGTGGTCAGCTGCTTCGGCTGGTTGCCGACCCTCTCCATGTGCACCATGAGCTGGCCTAAGAACTCGAGCGCCTCGTTGGACAGCATCGCGAACCGCCGTGGGTGGAACGCGTCGGGGCCCAAGGCCGTCCGATGCTTGAACTTCCTGCTCGCGGCCCTGATGGCTTCAACCGAGGGCGCGTCCATCACGCGGTGCTTGATCTCGCCCCAGCTGGGGCCCTTCATGGGCTCGCGGACGTTCCAGACCTGCTGGAGCCAGTCCGCGCAGAACTTGTCGGCGGCGTCCTGCACATCCGCTGCCACGCCGTTGGCCAGCAGCCCTGGCCCCGCTCCCGTGGGCCCACGAGTCCACTTGCGGGCGAGGCCCGCCCCGTTCAACGTGGCCTGCTTCGCCCAGGCGTCGAACGATCGGCAGCGCGCTCTCTCAAAGTCTCTGGAGAGGCGCACGCTCACGCTCTGAGCCTGCTCCGCCAGCTTGGCCAAGTCGTCGATCGTGAGCTCGCGCAGCCGCTGCCAGTACGCCTCGAAGAAGTGCCAATCCTGAGCCTTCTTGAGGGAGCCGTTCCAGTGCTCCAGGGTGTCGAGTAGCCGCTTCGCTGCCTGGCGGTGCCTCGGCTCGTCCCTCTCGTACGCGCGCTGGAGCTCAAGGAGTCGGTCGTGCAGCCACAGGGCCTGGCGCGCCTCGGGGGATGCCTTGGCCACCGCCGCGTTGTTCCGCCTCGCGGGATGTACCTTGATGAAGCGCGGCTCCAGCCCTCGCCCCGTGTACCTCGGCATGTCATCCAGCGGGATGTGGAACAAGCTGCCCAGCTCCTCCTCAGCTCCCTTCATGAAAGCCGCGAACCCGTTCGCCAATGCCTCCTGACAGCCCTCCGTCTCGCCCAGGGCCGCCATTGCCGCACCCCAGGATGTAACCACCTCCCGACCAGGCCCGTTGGGCCGTGTATTTGGGAAGCTGGCGGGGGTCTTGTGGACCGTGATCATGTCCTCTATCGCACCGTTCTTCAGTCTGAGCCCAACTGGGCGGTGATCCTTGATGGTGGTGGTGTGAATCACGAAGCAGGACTCGACCCTTGGCACGAACGCCTTCGGCAGGACCCAGTAGTCCAGCACGGAGCCCTCCGCCAAGTCGCCGAGCGTTGCCTCCTGGGTGAAGATCGGCTCGGCCATCAGCTTCTCGAGGATCCCTGACTTGGCCAGCTCCGCGGGGTGCATGTTGAAGTCGCCGCCGACGATGAAAGGCCGAGCCAGGCGCTTCAGCTCGCGTGCGAGGAGGTTGACCAGGAGCCTGTTCATGTCCGTCATGCCCTCGCTGTGGTGCAGGTAGACGTTGGCCACTACCGCGCCTCCTGGAAACCATCCTTTCCAACATCTCAGCTGTGCTCGGCCACGTGCGATGCTGAACCTCGTGCTCACACATGGGTAGCTCGCCAGTCCTCGCCACGGCTGCGCTGCCATACACAAGCCGCCGCTGGTGCCTCCACGTCCTGTGGGTACTGCTGGGTCCAGCTGCAGGTTCCACTTGGCTCGCTTCGCCCAGTCCTCCTGAGTCGCGCACGCCTCGGCGCCGAACAGATGGGTCTCCTGGCCCAAGAAGATGTCCGCTCGGCGCCCCTCCACGTCCAGCAGCAGGTCGGTGAGGCTCGACCACGTGGTGCCGTTCGCCGTGATGGCTAGCGTGTGCCCTATCTTCGGTTTCTTCGGCTTGGCCGCCCTCCGCCGTGCAGCTCGGACGGTGAGCAGTGCGTGCCCCGAGGGGTCGGCACTCTCTGCCGTCCTGGTGGCTCGGCCCGCAGTGAGCAGTGCGTGCCCCGAAGGGTCGGTGCCCTCTGCTGCGGGCTCCGCCACCTGCTTCGCCCTCGCAACCTCGGGCGCAGCCTTCCGCTGCTCCAGCGTGGCCGGGAGGGTCGGGGGGGGGCCGTGAGCACCCGCACCCTGCGGCGCTCCTCCTCCGACGCGACCTGCATGTCGAGCAGCCCGTCCTGCCCCACCTGCAGGAACGCGTTGCTGTAGTTGGCGTCCTTTATGAAGTGCTGGTCTGACCCGAGATCTTCGACCGCCAGGAGGCCGACCCGCTTGAGGTAGAGCACGATCTCGCCAATCAGCTCGAGCACCAGGCCCACGAACTGCGACGCCGTCCGCGCGCGCTGCTGGGCCGCGTGGGGCTCCTCGACGTGGCCCTTGACGAAGACCAGGCCTGCGGGCACCCTGGCGCCATCCAGCATCTCGTAGGGCGGTGCTGCTTGGGCCCCATCACGCATCGGGGCTGGGGTGGCATTTAGGGCCGCAGCCCCGTCGTTATAGCCAGTCCCCGCCTGGACCCCGAACAGCGAGTGCCCTTGGTCAGGGGCTCCGACGGCAACCGATCCGTGATGCGCTGGCCCTGCACCTCGGGCTCCGCCTGAAGCTGCTGCGACGACAGAAGGCGCGAGAAGGGCAGGTGGTGCAGCTCCTCCCAGGTCAGCCAGTGCCGCCCCTGCCTCCCCACGCGGCCGCGAGTCCACCTGTCCCGCGGGGCCGCGCGGGCGCGGGGCCCGCTGCCCCACGGGCCGCGGCTGCTCCAGCACCTCGCTCTCCAGTACAGCCAGTGCCGCCTCGGCCTCCAAGCGCGGCCGCGAGACCACCTGCCCTGCAGGGCCGCGCGGGCGCGGAGCCACCTGCTCCACGGGCCTCGCCTGCTCCAGCGCCACGGCATTCCAGTCACAGTCGACCTGGAGTGGGAGGGGGGGCCCAGTGCCCCTTAGAGGGGACTTGAGCCCCCGCTCGATGGTGACTGCCGCGCTGCGGCTGCCTGCAGCTGTTGCCGCCTCGCCTAGGAGGTGACGGGCCGCTTCGTCCTCCGCCTCCCACGCGTCCTCCTGGACCAGGTCGGGCGCGACGACGGTGTTGTTGCTCTCGCTCAGGCTCGCCATGGTGACGAGGTCAGCACGGTTCAGCTCGCATGCGCGCTGCGGCCCCGATGAGCGGGCTAGCGGCAAGGCGAGAAGCAACAGCGCGCATCCCCTCCAAGTCCTTCGGCATGGCGGGCGCGAGGTCGGAGGGCCACAGCTTGTCGAGTTCGGCACGCAGCGCCTCCTCTGATGCCTTGCCGATGGGATCTTCGGCGCCGGGCACGGCTTGGGCGGCTGCAGTGCTCGCCGCGCCCAGAGGGGGGGGAGCAGGGCGCTCCTTGGGCACCACCAGCTGCGGCAGCAACTCCTCCAGGAGCTTGGAAACCGCCTCGGCGTGGTCGCCGAAGCCGCGCTCCCCGCACTTGGCCACCAGCGCTTCCTTGTTGATGCCGAACGTGTGGGCGACCGCTCCCGTCTCGCTGCCACCGTCTGCGGCTGGGCCAGCCCGAGCAGCATCAGCAGCCACCAGCTCGTGCACCACGGCCTTGGCGCGGCCGAGCTCGGCCTCGCACTGCTCTCGCTGGGTCTTGAGCTCCTCCAGGCGACGCTGTGCTGCAGCGACAGCCTCCACCTGCTCCGCCAGCTTGTCTCCTGCCTTGGCCAGTGCAGCCTCCTTCCGCTTGACGTCCCGTCGGGCGATCTGGAGCTTGGCGTCCGCGGGCCTGGCGTCGTGCAGCTTCTTCCGCAGCTCGTCCAACTCTTTCTGGAAGGAGTCGATGACGCCCTTGTAGATGCCATCCATGTCGTCGCGGCCCTTGAGCAGCTTGATCTCGGCCGCCAGCTTGTCGGCGCGCTTCCGCACGGCGGCGGCGCCTGCAGCCGGGGCCTCGACTGCTGAGCCATCGACTTCCATGTCGCCGTCCTGCGAGGACTTGCTGCGCAGCTCTTGCTCCAGCGCCGCGATCTTGTCCTCGTAGATATTCTTATACTTTGCCTCGGCACGCGTGTCCGCCACGCTGGGCGCGCGCGCCGAGGGGGCACCTCCATCAGCAGGTCGATTGCTGCCGAAACAGGCGCCCTTGTGCAACTTGCATTTTGTACACCGTATCGACGAGCCTGGGTTCCACCAGCGCTCGCCTTTTGCATTCTTGCAGCCGTCCTTGCAGCAGAACCAGTCGGGCTTATCACGCACGATGCCGCTGCCGACTGGACCGCCGCGTGGCGTCTTGCTGCCGCCGCCGCTGCCTGCAGCCCAAGGGGGCCGCCTGGTTGCCATCCTGCACTGCTCCCCAGCGCCGCCGCGGCAATCAAGTAGATTAAGCGGATGGCGCTCCCCCAGGAGCTCACAGTAAGACGGTCGGCTGGCCGCGGACTAGCGGTATCCTTTCTGCCTGGAGGTTCGCAGCCCCCCCAGTCAGACATCTTGAGCCAAAATGGCTACGGAGGAGGACGAGGAGGAGGAGGGGAAGGAGAAGGAGGACGAGGAGGGGGAGGAGGAGGAGGAGGAGGAGGAGGAGGAGGAGGACGAGGAGGAGGAGGAGGAGGAGGAGGAGGAGGAGGAGGAGGAGGAGGAGGAGGACGGGGGGGGGTTGCGGCGGCGCATCCCGCCGGCAGGCTCCGGGGACAGCTTGGTCGCGGCCACGGCGTTCACACCCACGCACGTCTCGCCCGCGGCGCCCTCTCGGCGAGGGGCGACGAGGCGGGGCGGGGCTCAGCAGGGCTGGACCTATAGACGTTGTTGCTTGTTTTGTCTTCGTTTTTGAAGGGGCCCAGGGACACACAAATAGATACACACAAACCCCAGGATTCCCAATATGTTTGCAAATGTTCCCACTTCCCATATGTTCGCACATTTCCCTTGGAATCGACGATGTGTGCTTCTCTCCATCCTGGAGTTTTGTTGTTCGTTTTGCTCTATTTGTGTTCCTGCACCTCCCCTGCCAAAACGAAAAGCAAAACACAGCCGAAGTCCATCCAGCAAGACAGCGTGTAAGGTCCAGACCTCGTCCTGGAGGACAGAGACGCCCTGGGACCCCAGCGGGCGGTGGAGATCAGAGTGAGGGGGCCGAACGGTATATAATTTCTTCATCCGTGGGTGCGTGGCAGGAATGGCGTTGCGTCCGTCGGGTTCTGCTTATTGTTGCGTTGTCGTCGTCCTCGCCCGCCGGCGACCCTCCCGCGACCCTCCCGCGACCCACCTCGCGACCCACCCCCGCGACCCAACCCCGACCCACCCGCGACCCGCCCCGCGCCCGCCCCCTCACTCTCTTCCGCAATTGCGAGTACTACGCAAACACATTCGACAGCGCCCTCCGAGGTCCCCGAAGATCGATCCCCCCAGCGGTGGTTCTGGAGAAGTCCCTCCCCCCCCCGCAACGATGGGGGGAAACCGCGGCTGCAGAGGAGAAGAGACATCGCCCTGGAATCGGCGATACTTCGCGGACTGATGGGTGATAGGATCCCGATAGACCGATGTGCGTCCCTGGACGGGTGCTCGATCGGGCACGTCGGCGATCCGCGACTGCTGCGGGGCCGATGTCTCCCCCTTCCGAGCCAACTCCTCCCTGACGTTGCCCCTGACCTGTGTTTCTCGTCATGTTGGTATTCCTGGACATGACGCGGGCCTCGCGCAGCCGTTCGGGTCGATTCGGGCACCCACGGAAATCTCTCGAGGAAGAGCGACTGATGGAAATCACCCCCGGCAACAAAAACGTAGGAAAACCTCCGATCACTCACGAAAGCTACCGAAGTCCCCTCCCCGCTGAGCCTACAGCGGTCAATGGGCGATTGGGGGTCGATGCGTCCCCCTTCTGAGCCGATCCTCCTCCTCCTCCTCCTCCTCCTCCTCCTCCCTCCTCCTCCTCCTCTTCTCTCCTCCCCCTCCTCCTCCTCCTCCTCCTCCTCCTCCTCCTCCTCCTCCTCCTCCTCCTCCTCCTCCTCCTCCCCACCCCGCCTCACCCGCCTCCCCTCCTCCTTCCTCCTCCTCCTCCTCCTCCTCAGCATCATCATCATCAGCATCATCACAGCATCACACATCAGCATCATCATCATCATCATCAACATCATCATCCACACATCATCATCAGCAAGCAGCAATCATCATCCCCATCATCATCATCAGCATCAGCATCATCATCATCATCATCATCAGCATCATCATCGTCAGCATCAGCATCATCATCATCATCAGCATCATCATCAGCAGCATCAGCAACATCATCATCATCAGCATCATCATCGTCATCATCATCATCATCATCATCACATCATCATCGTCAGCATCAACATCGTCATCATCATCATCATCATCATCATCTCATCATCATCCTCATCCCATCATCCTCATCCTCATCATCATCCACATATCCTCATATCCTCATCATCATCACATCATCATCAATCATCATCATCATCTCAATCATTTCACCTCCTCCTCCTCCTCCTCTTCCTCCTCCTCCTCCCCCTCCTCCTCCTCCTCCGCCTCCGCCTCCGCCTCCGCCTCCGCCTCCGCCTCCGCCTCCGCCTTCTCCTCCTCCTCCTCTTCCTCCTCCTCCTCCTCCTCCTCCTCCTGACCGTCGTCGCCGTCGACTTCATCGTCCTACTCCTTTTCTGACAACGACCGCGGCGGCGGCGTCAGCGGCGACGACGACGAGACCGAAAGTTAACGATAGCGCCTGCTGGCCCCCGAGGCAGACCAAGTCTCTGACCATCTCCCCGGTCACCTTCCCGGCTCCGAACTGGATGGTGACCTCCACACCCCTCGACGAGAGTGAAGGAGGGCGAGGGCGAGGGCGAGCGAGCGAGCAAGGCGCTGGTGCAGCCTCATGCGGCGAAGCTTGTGCCTGTGCCACTTTGAGCAAGGCGCGTGAGGCCGCAGCCGCTGAAAAGCATGCAGAGCCCTCTCGCGGCCACACGCCGACAATGGAAAATACTCCGACCCCATATCGGCTCGTGTGAGCGGGCAGTTTGTCTCCCCGGGGTCGTCCTCAGAAACAAATGTCATGGAAGTTCCTCCTCCATTCTCAGAGACTTTCCCGAGGCAGACCCTCTTCGGAGCGCCGAGTCAACTCAACTCGAGGTGAACCGAGCCAGTTCGCGAAGTCGTAAAATTGAGTCGAAAGGAAGCTCCTTCCCTTCGATCCCTTGGGTCCTGGGGTCCTGGGGGAGGGGTCCTGGGGGGGGGGTCCCAGGGGGGGTCGTAAGCGGGGGTCCTGGGGGGCTGGTAGCCTTCGAGCGAAGTTGGCCCTCCTTCGGCAGTTCAAATCCAAGATGATCCAAGAGGGCTCCAGGAGGGCCCAGAGAGCCTAAAGAATCGCTGCAACACGTACAAGATGACCTCCAAACGGCCCAAGACGCCTCCAAGACGCCCCACCAGGACTCCATGAGCACGGTCCAACATGGCACATCATCGACCCACGCTTGCCCCAGCAATGCCAACATGTCCTCCCAGATGGATCAGGGTATCCCATCATGGCTTAAGATAGTCCCAGCTACAACTTGTTCCAAGACTCTAACGCTGCTGCCTTTCTGGCTCCTCGACGCCCAAGACGGCCCCAAGAGGCCCCGAAGCCCTCTACAGGGCGGTCTACGAGGCCGCCACACGGGGACAGAGACGGCCCACGAGCCCCGCAGGACGGTCACGCAGGCCTCCAGGGCGGCCGGCGGGAGGCCCCAGCACCTCCCAACAGGCGCCCCAGGAGGGGGACCACGCACCGGCAGTTCGAGCTCGCCGCCCGAAGAGGTCCCGCAAGGCCCTCGCGAGGCCCCCAAGAAGAGAGGTCCGAAAAGGCCCCCGGCCAGGCCCCAAAAAAGCCCCCAAGAGGCTCCGAAGCGACCTCACTAACACTTCCACCTGAGGCTGCCGAGAGCCCCCCGAAGAGGCCCCAAGGAGGATCCATAAGGACTCTGACCCACTACTCAGGCTCGGTGGCCGGATGGGCCGCCCCGAAGAGGCTTCCAAGAGGCTACCAAGAGGCATCACAACTGCTTCCAGAGGCCTCCGAGCACCTTCCGAAGAGACCCAAAGAAGGATCAAACCTAAGATGGACCCAGGATAGCTCCAAGACGGTCCCGAGTAGCGGCAAACGGCCGAGGTGAAGCCTGAGGAGGCTCCCAGAGACCCGAAACGTCTTTCACGAGGTATCCTCCTCCTCCTCCTCCTTCTCCTCCTCCCCCTCCTCCTCCTCATCTTCCTCATCCTCCTCATCCTCATCCTCGTCTTCATCATCATCATCATCATCATCATCATCATCATCATCATCATCATCATCATCATCATCATCATCATCAGCATCAGCATCAGCATCATCATCATCATCATCATCATCATCAGCATCATCATCATCATCATCATCATCATCATCATCATCATCGTCATCGTCATCATCATCATCATCATCATCATCATCATCATCATCATCATCATCATCATCATCATCATCATCATCATTATCATCAGCATCAGCATCAGCATCAGCATCATCATCAGCAGCATCATCATCATCAGCAGCATCAGCATAATCATCATCATCATCAGCAGCAGCAGCATCATCAGCATCAGAATCAGCAGCAGCATCATCATCAGAATCATCATCATCATCAGCAGCATCATCAGCATCATCATCATCATCATCATCATCAGCAGCATCACCACCATCAGCATCATCAGCGTCATCATCAGCAGCAGCATAATCAGCATCAGCAGCATCATCAACATAATCATCCTCATCCTCCTCATCACCATCATTCTCATTGCTTTCGCCGCCACCTCCTCATCATCATCATCATCACCATCATCATCAGCATCATCATCATTATCCTCGTCCTCCTCCTTCTCCTCCTCCTCATTCTTCGTCTCCTCCTCCTCCTCCCCCTCCTCCGAATCATCGTGCTCCTCCTTCTCCTCCTCATCCTCCTCCTCCGCCTTATCCTCCTCCTCCTCCTCTCCCAATTCCTCTTCCTCCTCCTCCTCCACCTCCTCCTCCTCCTTCTCCTCCTCTCCTCCACCTCGTCCCCATCCTCCTCCTCCTCCACCTCCTCCTCCTCCACCTCCTCCTCCTCCTCCTCCTCCGCCTCCTCCTCCTCCTCCTCCTGCTTCCCCTCCTCCTCCCCTCCTCCTCCTACTCCTCCTCCTCCTCCTCCAACCCTCGTCCTCCCTCCTCCTCCTCCTCCTCCTCCTCCTCCTCCTCCACCTCCTCCTCCTCCTCCTCCTTCTCCTCCTCCTCCTCTGGCTGCTGCTGCTGCTCCTCCTCCACCTCCTTCTATGGTAAACTGCACGCGTTCACGCCGCTAGCCGACTTCCCCGCGTCACCGTTACGTGGGGGGTGGCGGGGGGGGGTACACACGTTACGTCCGGAAGTGAGAAAAGCACGATCTCCAGCTGCGCGCAGGGCCCGCAGTGGCCATCGAGGCAAAATCTGGATCATGCGAGAACCCCCCGCGATTACTGCACATTTGTTTTTGACTGGGACGGCGGAGGTGCAGGCATATGGCCTGCTGTGTGCAGGCCCACCACACACTATGATGGACACCCCGCCGCGATTGCGCACTGGTTTTCGACAAGGGTGGTGGGGGCCGGCACCTTTCCCGATGTGTACTGCCACGTGCGCAGGCGCACCTGGCACACTCTGCGCGTGCCCCAAACGTGGAGCACATGGCGCGGCCGGAGCATGCGGCACACATGGCGCATGTGAAGTGGCACATCTGGCGCACCAGGCGTGCCTGACACGCTTGGGTCAAAGGGGTCCCTGGCGCACCTGGCGCGCGTGGCGCAACGCGTGGCGCACCTCGCCCCAGCGCTGCGCAGATGGGGTATGTTTTGGCTCCCGTTAGATGTCCATACAAAGCCGACCGCTGAGCATGCTGCGGCTTGGGTGCTACTTACGTGTTGTGAGGGCGGGTGGGAGTGAGCGAGACGGCTTGCGGGCGGGGAGGGTGTCTTGACATGGAGGGGAAGCGGCGAGGTGTCAGAGGGTGTTTGGGGGTTCAAAATGGCGCCACGAGGGCCTCCGAGAGCCCAAGATTACCTCCACATAGAGCCCAAGATAGCGCAAGATCGATGTAGGTGGCTTCCAACATGAGCCAAAAGACTCCAAGACCAGTCCACGATGGGTGCAAGGAGGCCCCCAGGAGGCTAAAATCCTTCAAGTACCTACCTGAAATCACTGGGTTTGGCCTTCTCGCATGTTCGCTTCCAATGGGCTCCCGAGGCCTCCAGATGGCTCCAAGAGGGCCGGGCCCAAGAGGGCCCCAAGACAGGCGCAAGATGGCCCCAGGACCGCCCCCAGAGCGCCCAAGAGCTCCCGGCGCCCCAAGAGGGCCCCAAGAGGCGACGTTAGGAGCTCAAGAGGGGCAAGGCTGATTAAGGACCCCCCAACTTTGATCGATATCCGGCAACGTGTTCCCACGAAGGCCTTCAAGGCCCCCAAGAGGACCCTGAGAGGGCCCCAAGAGGCGCACAAGCGGCCCCAATAGACCCCAAAGACGCTCCAAAGAGGCTCCCGAGCGGCCCCCAAGAGGCCCCCCAGAGGCACCCAAGAGGTCCGCTGAGGCCTCCTGAACCAGTCCCCCAAGACGCCCCAAGAGGCCTCCAAAAGGCCTCTGGCCCTTCTGCTCGACCTCCTGCTCCTCCTCAACCTATTCCTCTTCCTTGACGCTCCTCCATCATCCGTCCTCCCCCTGTTGGGGTACGACCCGTTATTCCACTGCACACTCCTCCACATCCCTGATCAGGGCAACTCTGGGCATCATGTTTGGACAGGCTTGTGGGGCGACGCGAAGCGCCCAGAATATGTCTACACGCCGTCTTCTCGGGGGTGAATGAGGGAGGGAGCAAGGGGAAGCGGAAGACGAGGGAGGTGAATGGAAGGAGGTGGGAAGAACGAAAGGAGGGAGGAAACATGCAAGCGGGGGGTCGCAGTCCCGACAGGGCGCCTACTTGACAACGCCCGCTCCGGTCCCGACAGGGCGCCTACTTGACAACGCCCACTCCGCTCCCGACTGGGCGCCTACTTGACAACGCCCGCTCCGGTCCCGACAGGGCGCATACTTGACAACGCCCGCTCCGGTCCCGACAGGGCGTCTACTTGACAACGCCCGCTCCGGTCCCGACAGGGCGCTTCCTTGACAACGCCCGCTCCGGTCCCGACAGGGCGCCTACTTGACAACACCCGCTCCGCTCCCGACAGGGCGCATACTTGACAACGCCCGCTCTGGTCCCGACATGGCGCCTACTTGACAACGCCCGCTCTGGACCCGACAGGGCGCCTACTTGACAACGCCCGCTCCGGTCCCGACAGGGCGCCTACTTGACAACGCCCGCTCCGGTCCCGACAGGGCGCATACTTGACCACGCCAGCCGCGGTTTTCAACGCATAGCCCGTCACATAGCTTGCGCGACAGAACTCGCACCACATAGATTGCTCCACATAGGTTGCGCCGCGCAGCTTGCATCCACATGGCTTGCGCCACATCGCGTGCAACCCATAGCATGCACCACATAGCTTGCGCCGCAGAACTCACGCCACGTAGCCTGCACCACATCGCTTCGGACGCATAGATTGCACCGCACACTTTGCGTCACATAGATAACACCACATAGCTTGCACCACGCGGCTTCCCTCGCATAGCTTACACCACATAGCTTGCAACATGTAGATTGCACCGCATAGCTTGTGCCATGCGAGGACAGCAGCCAGGAATCTGGATCACAGTCGGGACCCCCCGGGGCCATCCAAAAACCACCCGTCGGGCCACCCCGGGGGGCATCCAAAAACGCCGGCGGGCCCCCCCCCGCGGCCATCCCAAAACTGCGCCCGGGACACTCGAAAAAACCTCCCGCCAAAAATTCCGCCAAAACCAGTTCGGATTCCATCGCAATTTGTTCCTCCGATTTCTGTTATCAGGAATCCCGTCATAAGAAAATTGGCGGAGAAATTGGCGGCCGTCTCCCGGGCGCTTGCGGTGTCCCCCGCGGGAGAGGGGCGGGAGGGTGGAAGGGGATGGCCGGTGGAGACCGAGGGAGGAGGTGGAGGGCGAGGGAGCGCGAGGGGGTGTCGACGGTAAGGGTGGAAGGTGAGGGAGGGGGAATGAGGGAATATGAACGAAGGTGGAAGAGCGAACGGAAGGTGAGAAAGGGTGGGGGGCGGGGTGGACGGGAAGAGGCAGGGCAAGTGAGATGAGGGAGGGCGGGGCGAGGGAGAATGGGTGAGGGCGGAATGTGAGGAAGGGCGGAGGGCGGGGAGCGGATGTGGGGGGGCGACGGAAGGCGAACGCATGGCGCGGAAGAGGACTGGGGAGGGCGGAGGGGGGGGCCAGGGCAGGGGAAAAGGGAGAAGGGGGGGCGAGGGAGCGCGGGGGAGCGAAGAAAGGGAAGGGAGGAGGAACAAGGGAGGTTGAAGATAAGAGGAAGAAGGAAGGGGCAGGAAGATGGGAGCAGGGAGAGTAAAGGTGAAGGAAGGAGAGACGAGGGACCGGAGAGGGGGGGAAGTGGTTGATGGGGGGGGCGGGGCAGGGCTGGAGCAGGCGGAACGGTGCAGGAAGGGAAGGGAGGGCGGAAGGAGGCAGGCACTGGGAGAAAAGGCGCAGGAGGAAGGAAGAGGCAGGAGAGGGGACGACATCGCAAAGACACCTGGGCTCTTGGGTTTCCTTAGGGCCCCCTGACACTGTCCTTCGGTACCCCTGGGTTTCCCAAAGGCCCCCTCGGGGAATCTAAAAGATTTCCGTAAATGCCCACGCCTCCCCGCGCAGACGCTGGGGAAGCGAGGGGCGATGTTCCAGAGAAAACAAAGAATTACCCCGCCAATTGGTGAAGGAGGCCCCTGGGGGCTCCCCCGCTTGACTCTGGACGCCGGCGGTCGCACCGAAAAGGCGGGGGCGCGTCGAAACGAGCGCCCCGCGATGAGTGGGGCGGCAAGATCGCCACGGTTTGGGGCACCCGTGCAACGGGCCGACGGTTCCCCCCGGGCGACGCTGGCAGGGCGCTCGCCGAGACGAAAGAGTTCGCCACCCACGCGATTCGGCCTCCCAGCGATTGAACGAAAGCCAAAAGGAGCCCGAAAAACAGGATGAGAAGAAGGACGACTGAAGGAGGACCGACGCGAGGCGTCACGACCGCCACCCCACGTTCAAATGAACGAAGATGATCAAGGATCAGTCCGTCGGAACCTCCGAGCACGCTCGCGCAAAATCAAGGCAGCCATACTGTTACTTTGTATCGTGGGTTATGGGAGGTGGTACGGAACTGGGCACCCCAATATTGGAAAAGGGCTGCCACGCCCGTCGGCCGCCGCGTCTCCCAAGGAGCGGGGCGTCGGGGGTGCTACGAAGGGAAGTTGCCCTGCAACAGTAGATGTAGCCGCGGACTGGGCTCGCGCGAGGGCCCCTTCCAGGCGGGCGGCTCGCGGGCTCGCGGGCAAGATGGGACGGCGCCCCCTGCGCGCGCAGCGACAAGGACAGGGGGGAATCGAGCGTGGGGACGGCGGGATGCCCTGGGAGGGGAGGGAGGGGACAAACAGCTCCCCTCCTCCCGCCCGCCATCGCCCTTGGCCCAACCTACGCCCCTCTTCGGGGGGACAGAACTTTCCAGTTGTGGCGATGGAACAACACATGTGAACACCGCGCACATCCATGGGCTGGGCGACGCAACGCGGCGGTGGCCCGACTTCGGCCCGATGGTTTTGGATCAAAAAACGCGTCACAAGTTGAACGCAACGTGGAGATCGCGCCAAAACTGGGGGGGGTAGGGGGGGGCAAAGCGGGCCCTCTACAACCGCAGATCTACGAATCTCAGAAAGAAAACCAAAACATAAAAATTCGCCTCCAAACTTGGTGCTATTGGTCAGAGCTGACGGTGATGCGGATATGTCCGCCGCTCGTGATACATTCGCACAGCCCCTAGCAACCCCCGACCCCCACCTGTTGGCGGCGCGCACAGGTGGGTAGGGAGAGGGGGGAAGGCTCCTCAGAAGGAAGCCGCTCCTGAGAAGGTGCCGACCCTGCATCTACAGATGGGGCCCGCGCTTTCTGAGAAACAGGGGTGCCTCTGACAGGCCTTCCCCCCTCCCCACCTCTGAACGTGGCCGACACCTGCCCCCGCCACCACGCCGCCACTGCCCGACCTCACAGCCGCACCCCCCTCGGGCGCAAATTAATGGGGGGCGAACGTTAGAACCCTCCTAGATGGTGTCGGAGTAGCTGGGGACGGAGGATCGCGCCGCATCGCCGATACACGATGCATTGGCGATGCACCGATGATGCATCGTGGACGACGGCGATTCATCGGCGACGTCAACGTGAAGCAAATCGGGCCCCACATCGAGCCGCATCGCCGATGCAAGGTCGACGTCGGCGATGTATCGGCGACATCGACTTGAAGCAAATGGTGCCCCACATCGAGCCGCATCGCCGATGCATCGGCGATGCGGAGCGATCCTGCGACCCCATATACTCGGACCCCATCTAAGAGAGGAGGAAGAGGAGGAGGAGGAGGAGGAAGAAGAGGAGGGGGGGAAGGAGGAGGAGGAGGAGGAGGAGGAGGAGGAGAGAGGAGGAGGAGGGGAAGAGGAGGAAAATGAGGAGGAGAGAGGAGGAAGGAGGAGGATGAGGAGGAAGAGGAGGAGGCCTAGAAACATGAGGGGGGAGGGCAGCGGGGCCTGCAAAGAGGAGCCCTTCTGGGGCACCTCAGGGGGGCCCTTTCGGGCTCCAGATAGGGGGGCCTTCAGCGCCCGCGAAGGGCACCCTTCTTCTCCCCAACCAATCGCCCCCCCATTAGTTCGCGCCCCAATGGGGAGCCACGCTGTCAAAATACACGTCGTCGGATGTCCAGGATCCCCCTCGTCCCCCCCCCCCCCTCCGCTTGCTCCTCCTTCCCCCGCATGCCCCCATTGCGATCCTCCGCCCCCCTGTGTTTGCCGAGGCCCGCTGCCGCTGCCCCGCCCAGCGCAACGCCCCCCCCCCCCCCCCCCTAATTCGCGCCACCCCCCCCTCGGCACGCGCCCCAAGGGCACCTTTCAGGGGCCCTCTCGGGCCCGAGAAGGGAGCCTCTCAGGGCCCGAGAAGGGCATTTTTCTTCCCCCCCCCACGCCCAATCTGATGGGCTTGTTTTCCACCACCACCACCACCAGAAGTTGCATGGGGAGGGGATCCTCCTCTTCCTCCTCCTCCTCCCTCCTCCTCCTCCCCTCCTCCTCCTCCTCCACCTCCTCCTCCCCCTCCTCCTCCTCTCCGTCCTCCTCCTCCTCCTCGTCTCCTCCTCCTCCTCCTCCTCCTCTCCTCCTCCTCCTCCTCCTCCCCCTCCTCCTCCTCCTCCTCCTCCTCCTCCTCCTCCTCCTCCTCCTCCTCCTCCTCCTCCTCCTCCTTCTACTCCTCCTCCTCCTCCTCCTCCTCCTCCTCCTCCTCCTCCTCCTCCCCCCCCAACTAATGGCAACAGGCCCATCACAATCTGTCACCCCCCCCCCCCCCAATACATGTCGCGCCCAGGCCACCCTCGGCTCGCGCCTTACCCCCCTCGGCGCACCGTCTCCGGTGCTGCGGCGCCCTGACGCGCCGCCCGTCCATCTGCACCTCGCGGCGGCCTCCTCCTCCTCCTCCCTCTCCTCCTCCTCCTCCTCCTCCTCTTCCTCCTCCTCCTTCTCCTCCTCCTCCTCCTCAACCTCCTCCTCCTCCGCATCCTCCGCCTCGTGTTATCAGTGTTAGTGGTATTAATAGTAGTATGGATTATGTGTGCCATACGACGGTTCTTCTTCTAGTGGTGCGTACTCGTCTAGGTAGGTCTCGTTCCCAGTGCTGGTGTCAGTAGTGTGGTTGTTATGATAGTGTGCACCACTCCTATTATACATACCCGCCGTATCTCCATTATAAGTATATGTCGCATGCTTCGCGTTGCTGGTGTTGCTTATCATAGCTAATATATGTTATCGTGGTACTGGTATTGCTTACGATGTTCATAATGGTAGTGGTAGTCATGTGAGTCCTACTCTTATTCGTGTTCCTGTTGATCGGATTCGTCTTAAGAATCGTTGCACCACCTTAGTTGCCTGTCCTCACTCCTGCTAGTAATGCTGCTGACAGGTAGAAATTAGTATGTGGTTGGTAAGACCAACGTATAATTCGTATGCATCGTATTACTAGTAGATGTGTTAGTTGCACTATGGCGAACAATGGTCCTGTTCGACAACAAATCGTAGTAACCCTATTTTTGGTATACGTATTCGTAGTGCGATTCATCGTAATGCTCGTCTTGTGTTCCGTAGACGCATGATCCGAACGTGTCAAATTCCTGATATTACCCCTTTTATGATTAGCGCTATGAATTACGTTCCGCGTCCCATTCGTAACCCGATTACGAAATGTCTTCACATTGTTCATAAGATTGCTATGCCCCGTCTTTTTCTGATTTCCCTTACTCCATATTTTCATCTTCATCTCCCTCTCGCTTCCCCTTCTCATCCGCCTCAAACTACGCCTCCGCCTCCGCCTCCGCCTCCGCTCCCCCTCCGCCTGCGCTTCCGTTTCCGCCTCCACCTCCGCCTCCGCCTACACCTCGACCTCCGCCTCCACCTCTGCCTCCACCTCCGCATCCACCTCCGCATCCGCCTCCGCCTCCGCCTCCGCCTCCTTCTCCTCCTCCGCCTCAATTTCCGCCTCCGCCTCCTCCGCTTCCTCCACCGCATCCTCCTCTTCCGCACCCGCATCCGCCTCCGCCTTCGCCTCCCTTCCTCCTCCACAGCATCCTCCACCTCAGGCTCCTCCTCCTCCTCCTCGTCCTCCTCCTCTGGCCCCTCTGGTTTCTAAGAAATGCTGTCGGTCAGCTAACCACACCCACCGACGTTAAGCAGGATCCGCCCCGAGGTCAAAACCTTCCCTCACACCTTGGGGCCCTCGGACCGTCCGTCTTCCTTCGGAAACGATGCACGAGCGAACGGGAAAGGCGGGCCCCAGAACGCATCGGCCCGGGGCTTTCGACCAGCCAGGAGGCGGCCTAGGGCGACCCGACAAGGATTGACAGGCCTGGGCAAGGAGGTGAATCTTCCTACGGGCCGAAGCCCCGCACAGCTTACAGAAGACAGCCGCCGCATCCCTCCCAGAAGCCCCCCCGCACCCCCTAACCGACCGCCCGCCCCAAATCACCCACAGCTCACTCATGGGAGGGATATGCCATCGCCGCTGGTCTCGGCACTCCAGGGCGTGGGCTGGCACCCTGTGCGAGAGCCGAGCCGTCTGCGAAGACCGCAGCTGCTGCAGCCCCAGGCCCGCGGGGATTGGAAGTCAAAGAGAGGGTCTGCTGCGGGCACCGGGGGCGGAAAAGGGCCCCGATATGCTCACCCCGCACCTGCGGCCTTCTTCAAGACCGCGGCGTGATGGCGTGTCCGTCTTCTCCTCCTCCTCCTCCTCATCCTCCTCCTCCTCCTCCTTCTCCATCTTCCTCCGAGAGATCCAACACATTGAATCATCAAGGCAGAAATTTCGCAAGGCTTTCGGCCTGTAGGAGCCATCGGCCGACCACGGGGTCGTCATGAACCAACTCGAGATGCAAAACCCATCCGTGAGAGTGGCCGGCATCGGATCTCTGGGCCCTCCTCCTCCTCCCCCTGCTTATCCTCCTCCACCTCCTCCTGTCCCCCATCCATCATCATCATCATCATCATCATCATCATCATCATCATCATCATCATCATCATCATCATCATCATCATCATCATCATCACCACCATCATTAGCATCAGCATCAGCATCAGCGCAAGCATCATCATCATCATCATCATCATCATCATCATCCTCATCATCATCATCATCATCATCATCAGCATCATCATCATCAACATCAGCATCAGCATCAGCATCAGCATCATCAACATCATCATCACCATCGTCATCGTCATCGTCATCGTCATCGTGATCATCATCATCCTCGTCATCATCATCAGCATCATCATCAGCATCACCACCATCAGCATCGTCATCATCATGATCATCACCATCCTCATCATCATCATCATCATAATCAGCATCAGCATCATCACCATCGCCATCGCCATCATCAGCATCAGCATCAGCATCAGCCAGCATCAGCATCATCATCATCAGCATCATCAGCATTATCATCATCATCATCATCATCATCATCAACATCAGCATCATCAGCATCATCATCATCATCATCATCATCATCATCATCTCCATCTTCATCTTCATCTTCATCTTCCAACTGTTCGTCCTCCTCCTCCCCCTCCCCCCCTCATCCTCCTCCTCCTCATCCTCCGCCTCCTCGTCCTCCTCCTCATCCTCCTCCTCCTCCTCCCCCCTGTCGCACCCCGAAGCGGCTTGAGAGGGCGGGCGGGGTGCTTCGCCTGAGACTTCCGAACCATCTATGGCTCTGAAGCTTAAAATCTGCAACGATTGCACAGATGGAGGGCAGGTCGTTTTCAAAATATGGCTCTCGCCTTAGAGCCGCGCACAGTCCTTGTAAACATTTGCAAGAACTTCACGGAATGAGGGCGGGACGTTTTCAAATGTGGATCTGACCATGACGCCGCGCACATTCGTTTAAGCATGTGCATTGTTTCACACATTGAGGGTGGGTCGTTTTCAAAATGTGGCTCTCGCCTTAGCGCCGCGCACATTCGTTTCAAAAGCTGCAAGGGTGTCACGGATGTCCGTGGTCAACGTACCAGAAGTCTCGTTCTGGAAAGATCCAGTATCATGAAGGCACAACACTTACGTTGATTCTGAGTGTTGAGGTCCCAGAAATGACGTTCTGGCACGGTTCAAAATCGTCAAGACGCAACACGCAGGTTGATCCGTGGCGTTGGAGTCTCGAAAATAATGTGTTGGCATGCTTCAGGGGCTTCAAACGGTTGTCTTCCAACGGGGCAGTTCACTCAGTGGAAGTGAACCCTTGTAGGGCCGATGAATAGGAAGCTTGGGGGAAGGGGTTACTCCACCAACGTTGATGACTCTCGAGTTTGCACTGGTCCTCCTCCTCATCATGCTCCTCCTCCTCTTCCCTTTCCTCCTGCTCCTCCCTTTCCTCCTCCTCCTTCCTCTCCTTCTCCTCCACCCCTTCCTCCTCTTCCTCCTCAACCTCCTCCTCCTCCTCCTCCTCTTCCCCCTCCTCCTCCTCCTCCTCCTCCTCCTCCTCCTCCTCCTCCTCCTCCCCCGAAGCCATGTTTAGGGCTGGCTGGGCGCTTCGCAGGAGACATCCTCACCATTGATAACCCTGAACTTCAACATCGGCGACAATTTGACAAATGGCGGGTGGCTTTCTTCAAAATGTGGCTCTCGCCTTAGAGCCGCGCACAATCCTTGTAAACATTTGCAAGAACTTCACGGAATGATGGCCACCCGTTTTCAAAATGTGGTTCTCGCCTTACAGCCGTGCACATTCGTTTACAAAAACTGCAAGAACTTCACAGAAAGAGGGCCACCCGTTTTCAATATGTGGCTCTCACCTTTGCGCCGCGAACATTCGTTTTAAAAGCTTGCCACAGCTTCACGGATTTAGGGCCACCAGTTTTCAAAATGTGGCTCTCGCGTTAGCGCCGCGCACATTCGTAGACAAAAACTGCAAAAGAACTCCACATATTGAGAGCCAACCGTTTTCATGTGGCTCTCGCGTTAGCGCCGCGCACATGCGTGTTACAAACTTGCTAGACCTTCACGGATTGAGGGCCACCCGTTTTCAAAATGTGGCTGTCGCGTCAGCGCCGCGCACATTCGTACACAACAGTTGCAAGAGAAACCAGATTGAGAGCCACGCGTTTTCAAAATGAGGCTCTCGCGTCAGCGCCGCGCACATTCGTTTTTGGTTGAACTTCCAAGTTTTTCACGGGTTGCAGGCGCTTCCTTTTCAAAATGTGGCTCTCGCGTTGGCGCCGCGCACATTTGATTTTCAAGCTTCCAAGAGCTTCACGGATTGAGGGCGATTCCTGTTCAAAGTGTGGCTCTCGCGTTGGCGCCGCGCACCTTGGTTCGTGAAGCATGCAAAAGATTCACGGATTCCCATGCCCAACGTACCAGACATGGTGTGTTGGCAGGCTTCAGGATGATGAGGGTGCAACCGGGACGTTGATTCGCAGCGTTGAAGTCCCAGGAACGGAGTTCTGGCACAATTCGGGATCGTCCAGGCGCCACTGTCAGTTGAATCCGCGACGTTGGAGTCCCGAGAAAACTGTTTCGGCATGCTTCCGTGTCCTCAAGCGGCTGTCTTCCAACGAGGCAGATCCTCGGTGGAGATGAACCCTTGTAGGGGCCTGCGAAGAGGAAGCTTGGAGGGAGGGGTCATTCCAGCATCGCTGATGACTCTTGGGTTTGCGCTGGTCCTCCTCCTCCTCCTCCTCCTCCTCCTCCTCCTCCTCCTCCTCCTCCTCCTCCTCCTCGGGGGGGTTTCCGTTCCCACGGGAACATTCGGGCCGAGCGGTGCCCCGTGACGGCTGGAGGTACCCCCCTGCGACGGGAGGCCGGCTGTCCCCATCTCCCAGACATGGGAGCGCCACGAACCGATCAGGCGGCAACTGCTGGGAGGTTCTGGAGACAAGCGCGCCCCGCCACTCGCAAAGCAGCTGCTCGCAGATGAAAAGGGCCCGGATCCGTCGCGGGGGGTCACGACACACTACATCGAAGCACACGCGTGCTTACCAGACGTTTGCGAGCAGTGGAGCGCCATCGGTGCTTCGGAAGAACAAGCCAGGATTGTCGCCTCGCCTTCCCCATCCTCAGATTCACACACTTATGTCGGGCGTGTCCCCCTACAGGGGGATCTTGGGCGAAAAATTCAAAAAAATACCCCAAAAATGCCTCAAACTTGGCAAAAAAAAACTCAAAAAAATCCCCCGACTATTTTTGGACCACTTTTGATCATTTTGTTTTTTTATGGTTCGTCGAAAATCCGCCTGTAGGGGGACACGCCCGACTTAATCGTATTCCTACACCGCTGATCCCTCGTCCCGGCCTCCTCCTCCTCAGCCTGCGCACCTGCCTTTTCCTCGTCCCACTGCCTGTGTCATCCACAACCACCTCGGCGCTTCCCTCGGGGATGGACAGGCCCCCCTTTAGCAAAAAATGGTTTAGTGAAAACGACCTAATGCCCAAACCTGGTGGGCGCAAGCCTGGAAAATAACGGCCACGGCGCCCTCTCGAGAACCGAAAACGGACAATTCACTAATCGACGTGTCACAGTTGGGGGTTAAGTCCACCCCCGATTCCCCCCCACACACGCGACCTCCAGGAGAAGGAGCACGGGGGGACAGAGGGCGAGTCCAAAAAACACGCCCCTGTAGCATCAAAAACCATCGTCTGCCGAGGGGCCATGCAGAGTGAGCGTGGAGGCAACTGGGGCGGCGCATCTGTCGCTCTTTCGGGAAAGTGCACGGCCGTGGGCTGGCGTCTTACCCCGATATGTCGCCGAAGGCTTTCCCGAACGGTGCACCGCATCTGCACGTAGTAGTATGGAGTCTCGTCTCAAAGTATCGAACGAAACGACAGGTATCATGCAACGGTGCAGCCATATGTTTCTGCAGCCTGGAAGGGCAAGATCCTTCAGCATCGATTAGAAGCATCAGACCGAATCGGAATGTGCGTCGGATCGGCCTGCATCGGCACGGAATCAAAACAGAATCGGATCGGCCGCGCCAGGTTGCACCACAACGCAACACAACACATCGGGCCGCCGAGTCAGGCTAGCCAAAATCGAAATCGAACCCGACCGATCGGATCGAAATGGACCCCGTACAATGACATGGGAGCTGCCTCGGTTGACCCAGAAACGACCACATAGGTCCCGCCCCCCTCCCTGGGAGTAGTATAGCGGACGGGCCACAGAAGCCGACATCCTGGAAAAACGCTTGCACCGAGAGAGGCTTAGGTCTAGTAGGTTTGATGGGTTAATGCAGCAGAGAAATACGTCGGGCCGAATCGAGCAGATCGTCGGAGGTTGGGGAATCGAGATCCTCCAGAGATGCGCCTGGAGGCTGAGAACGCAGAGAGGCAGCGGGATTTCCACATGTCCGATGACCCTGAAGACCTGCAAGAGGCGGGAACACCACGAGTCGAGATACCATTACCCTACGACGTACCGAGCCCATCGGCACCAAAGGATGATAGAAGGTGTGCCGAGAATAGTGCGACAGCAACACGGCAAGCAACGGTGCACGGCGGATATATATATATATATATATACAAGACTGCAGTGGCGCTTCGCGCCATGCACCTTGGTCCTTGAAGATTGGTATGCAGGCGGACTAGCAGGAAGGTCAAGCCGAAAATTTAGCGATAACTCCTTGTTGCCTTTTTTCCGGCATCGCCGCTATAATAATGTTAATCGTTATCCTTCCTCCATGCTTCTTCTTCCTCAGTTTCGCCATGCCCTGCGCATCCTCCCCATCCTCCTCAGCTCTTTTTGCGGAGGCTCCTCCTTGGAGAGCCTCTGGGGGCCTCACAAAAGTTGTTTCAGGCTTTCTTAAGGCCTTCTGGAGGCCTCCTGGGCGTGTTCTTGGGGCCTCTGGGGGCTTCCTCGGGCCACCCTGCCTCCAACCGGGGTCTCCCTGAACGACCAGGTCACGATTTGGAATGCTTCGGAGGGCGTTTTGGGGCAATCTTGGGCCGCCATGGGGCTCTCTGAGGGCCATCTTGGACCCCTGTTGTGCCGTTTTAGGGCTCTCTTGGACTGCCTGGAAGCCCTTTCGGATAGTTGTGGGGCGATTTTGAAACCTCCGATGCGGCTTCGGACGCCCAGAAGACCGCCGTCTTGGAGCGTCGGGAAGCCGAAAAGAGGATAACCTCAAAATTCACCGAACACCGACAAAAAACAAATGATTATTGCCTCTTGGGCCTTCTTGGGGGTGCTCTTGGAAGCCTCTTGGGACGTCTCGGAACGATCTTTGGCGGCATGACGGCTTCTTGAAGGGCGTCGTGGACCGTATTGGGGCTCTCTGGGGTCGTTTCGGGAGCGCGCCACGCTCTGCGAGGCCCACGGGTCCGCTTCGAGGCCCGTCCAGAGGGTCCCAAAGCCCCAGATCCCGGGAGTCCGGTTTTTGGGGGGGGTCCCCCCGCCCGGGCTGATAAAAATATAGGAAGAGGAATAGTGTGCGAAAAGTGCTCGGCTAACTCGCAGAACAGAACGGCAAAAGGCCAGAGGAGGCATTGTAGTGGGAAGAAGAAGGAAAAGGACGACCTCGGAGGGAAGAACAATCACATCGGCAGAGGCAGCGAGATGATGGAGCATGGGCAAGATAAGGCTACATGGGCGGACACGCAACCAGACAGTAAAATGTCACGTTTATCCATCCCGACATGAGCAACACCTGCGCGGCCAGCCCCCCCCCCCAAAGGATGGCGAGGTCCTCGAGGTCTGCGTGGGACCCCACCCTGCTGCCCCTCCCCCCCAGCAGCCCTCGAAAGTGGCGACAGCTTCACACTTCGCAGGCCCCCCCACTAGGGATGGCGAGGTCCCCGGGCCCCCCCAGCGGTCCCCGGGCCCCCCCCTAGGGATGGCGAGGTCCCCGGGCTTCACACTTCGCGGCCCCCCAAGGGATGGCGAGGTCCCGTTTGGGTCACTGTGCGGGCTCCCCCAGCAGCCAGCCCTCGAAAGTTGCCACTTTTTCAGACTTCGCAGCCCCCCAAAGGATGGCGAGGTCCCGTTTGGGTCTGCGTTGGCTCCCGCAGCAGCACTCGAGAGTGGCCAAAGCTTCACACTTCGCAGCCCACAAAGAGGGATGCGAAAGGAGAGGCCCGAGAGGAGGGCGGGGAGGGCGAGGAGGAGGAGGTGGTGGAGACCCCACTGCTCTATTCAAAACGAGAACCAACCAAGGGATGGCTGGGGGAAAAGAAAACACGATCTCTAACTTCTCAGGGTCCGCGCGGACCTCTTGGATCGGCGCGGGACCCCCCTCCCTGGCGCGCGGTGCGCTCCGGGTGCGGCGGCGGCGCCGCCGCAGCCAGGGGGGGGCCAGCGCCGAACCAAGAACTTCGCGCGGACCTCCGAAAGATGAGGTTGCATGTGAGGGACCGACCGTCCCGGCATTCCTCATGAAGGTGGGTTGAAAAAAAAAGTCGGCCCGAGAGGAACATCCCTCAGGACCACGAGCCTCCGCCGCCGGAACACACAGAACAGCCAAGGGTACCATCCCCACGATGCACAAGAACATCCAGCAAGCACGAAGAACACTAGGGTCCCCCCCCCTCCGAATTGGCCTCGATCTCATACCTCGGTCCGGCTGTATGTCGTTGCTTCTTCCCCGAGCTAACGGCGGGAGCGCCACGAGAGCCGCGGGAGATGGCCGGAAATACCTTGTATGAATCGGCGGACGCGCTGAAGTTGTAGCGGCTGTGCATGCGGCAGGCCCTGCTCTCGCACTCGGTGGAGGGCACGATGACCTGGGCTGGCTCTCTCTTGCTCCTGCTCCTTCTCCCTCCTCCTCCTCCTCCTCCTCCTCCTCCTCCTTCTCCTCCTCCGCCTCCTCCTCCTCCTCCTCCTCCTCCTCCTCCTCCTCCTCCTCCTCCTCCTCCTCCTCCTCCTCCTCCCTCCCCTCCTCCTCCTCCTCCTCCTCTCCTCTTCCTCCTCCTCCCTCCTCCTCCTCCCTCCTCCTCCTCCTCCTCTCCTCTCCTCCTCCTCCTCCTCCTTCTCCTCCTTCTCCGCCTCCTTTCTCCTCATCGTCCCTCCTCCTCCTCCTCCTCCTCCTCCTCCTCCTCCTCCTCCTCCTCCTCCTCCCTCCACTTCCCACCTCCTCCCGATACAGAATTCAGCCACCCAGAAGTTGCATCCCAACCACCGCTGGTTCACGCGGCCCTCCTCTGCGGCACAGCCAACCCATACGAGAAAGACGCACAATGAAGATGCACGGGCCCTGGAAGGCCATGTCGGCACTTGGCGGGCGGGGGGCGGCCGGCGCAAGCGGCCACGGATGGGCCCAAGGGGAAAGATGCAAGAGCAGCCTTGGAAAGTTGTTCGTCCATAGTGTGCGCCCCCAGAGGCTGGCATCGGGAAACCAAGGTCGGGCGTTGGCAGAACTGGGTTTAGTGGAACCTGGTTTAGTGATTTGTACCGGGGGCGCCCCCCCGCCCCATTTCCACTAACTGGAACTGCCGTCACCCGAAAACACCATATACGGCAAACCTGGTTTAGTGAATCTGGCCAATTGAGGGGCCCCAGGGCCCTACCACTAACCGGGTCCCCTTACCCGGGGTCCTGGCTATACCCGACAAGGGCCTCCTAAATGGGGCCGGAAGATCGCGAGGGATCCAAGAGAGGTTACTCGAGCTTCCGAGCCCTCCGCCCCGAATCCCAAGACCGCCGGCAGGCGCCCGAGAAACGAAGAGTCCCAGGAGGCCCAAAAGAGGCCCCCAAAGGGCAGCCTTGGTCGGGAACCGAACTCTATACACCGACACTGTTTCTGGCCCTGCACTGAAATTTGCCCAGCAGAGCGGATCCTGGGGTGTACGGAATCCTGGTGCATACATGTTTCGCTGTAACCCTGGGAAACGGAAAAAAAAATGCACCACACCTCCTCGACGTCGTCCCCGATCCTCAAAAAGCCCTTGGGTTGAACTTGCGGCGTCCAAAACCCAGATAGCGGAGAAGTCCAAAGCGTGGGAAACGCCTCTTGGAGACGCTTGCAAGGACGCTTGAAAGGATGTCTGGGGAACTTGCAAGCTCGAGATAGGAGCTTCGCAGGAGCCCCCGAGGAGCTTCGAGGGGGCTGCGGAAAGGCGTCTGGCACGCGTTTTGGGAAACGCTTGCCAGAACACGCTGCAGCTTCACAGGAACCGCTCCAGCGCTGCTTGACCGGCGCCGAAAAGAGAGCTCCCGGGCTGCCCTGCGCCGCCGGCTTCTACATCTGAAGCCCTCCTAGCTCTCAGAGCGCTACTCGGGAAGAGCAGCCCGCCACTAGTAACGGATGTGCTCCGTCGCCCAAACTTGGAAAGTCGCTCATCCTTACGCTTAGTTCGGGCATGTCCCCGTACAGGCGGATATTGGACGAGAAATAAGAGATCATCAAAGATACCCCAAAATGGACAAAGGTAGTCAAACAAATCGTCCCCAGTCTATGTTTTGAGTATTTTTGAAGACTCCTCCTGCAGACTCAGGAAGGGAAAGAAACACACAGACACGACGAATCGTCAATCCCCAGGAAGAGATGGGAAACTATGGGAAGTGGGGGGGGAATACGAAAATCCTGAAAATGTTGAAAACTAAAAATAATCCTGGGATTCCTATGAATTTGCTTGTGTGTCCATTTGCCCCTCTCCTCCTGCCTCGCTGCCCGTCTTGTGCTTCACGGTCGGGCGTCCCATCTTCTGCTTCACAGTCGGGCGCTCCTTTTTCCTGCTGCACAGTCGCGGAGCCCTCCTTCTGCCGTTCCATATCGTACAATTCACGAAGGGTCGCCAACCGCGCGCTCTTCTGACCACGCGTCCTTCCTGATGCTTGGCTCTGTGGTGGTGGTGGTGGTGGTGGTGGTGGTGGTGGTGGTGGTGGTGGCGGTGGTGGTGGTGGTGGTGGTGGTGGTGGTGGTGGTGGCGGTGGTGGTGGTGGTGGTGGCGGTGGTGGTGGTGGTGGTGGCGGTGGTGGTGGTGGTGGTGGGTGTGGCGGTGGCGGTGGTGTAAGTGGTGGTGGCGGTGGGCGTGCCCGACGCAGCCTTGCGCTGCGCTCGGTGGGCGGCGCGGCCCGACGGCCGACCTCTCCCCGACGGCCCTCGGGCCGCGCGGGCGCGCGGGCGCGCGGGCCGTGCTCTCTCGGCCTCCTGCGGGCCCCCGCTGCACAGAGAGGAGGAGGGGGAGGAGGAGGAGAGGAGGAGGAGGAGGAGGCGGAGGAGGAGGAGGAGGAGGAGGAGGAGGAGGGAGGAGGAGGGGGAGGAGAGGAGGAGGAGGAGGAGGAGGAGGAGGAGGAGGAGGAGGAGGAGGAGGCCCCGGACCGCACAGAGCAGCAGGCGCAGAGCCCTGGAAGCTGCGCCCCTCCCGGGGAGAGGTAATTGGCGGCGCGCACAAGGGGGTGGGGGGAGGGGGAGGGCTTCTTAGAAAGAGGCTGCTTCTTAGAGGGCGCCAGCCTTGCATCTACAGATGAGGCCCGCGCCTTCTAAGAAGAGGCCGGCGCCCTCTGAGAAGCAGGGGCGCTTCTAAGAAGCCCTCCCCCCTCCACCCACCCCCCCTCTGCGCATGGCTGACGTAAGACTCGGGTACGGGGGACTCGGGTTGGCCTGACGGGGGCCATCATGAAAATGGCGAGACCCGATCTGAAATTCGGCGCGGGCTCCCGCGGCAGAGATCCAACGAAAAAAACAAATCGGCAAACCCGAATTCCGGCTTACTCGAGTCTTACGCTTCCCCGACCCTCCTCTGCGGCGCCCGCGCGAGGGGGCAGGGGGAGGGGGCCCCCAGGGGCACACGAGCAGACAGGCACGGATCCTGGCATGGGCCCGGGTAGGTTTGTCCATCCCGAGGCCCCCAGGAGGCCCCAAAAGAGAGAGGCCCCAAGGGGCCTCCTGAATCCTGAGACAGGCCCTAGAGGTTTGTCCATCTCGAGGCCCACAAGAGGCTCAGAAAGAGGCCCCGAACAGCCCCCAAGTGGCCCCCAAGAGGCCCCCCAAGAGGCCACGAACGCGCAGGCAAATGCCTGCGATGGCACAAAACGAATCGGAGAGCTGGATCGAGAGCCCAGGATAGACCAGAATCTTGCCACCGGCCAGGAGAGCCCAGAATCGAATCGATAAGTCAGATCGGCGATCGACATGAATCGGATCGGCGGAAATCGGCGGCCGAGTCTTGACAAGTCGAATCGGCGGAAATCGGCAGGCTTGTAGTCCTCCGGTGAGAAATCGGAGCCCAAATCGAAGTCCCAAGTCGAATCGAATCGGAATCGGAATCCATCGAAATCGAGTCGAATCGAATCGTGGGAATCGAAATGAGCCCTGACCGCCTCCGTCCCAAAACGACCCTCGCTGCTGGTCCTCGCTCCCGAGGGCCACCGGCCCTCTCGGACACTTCTCTCTGGGAGCCTCCCGGACTGGAGACTCTCGGGGCTCGCTTTCTGGGCGGAGCTTGACCGTCCTTCGGGCCACCAACGGCCATCCAGGTTGCCTCCCCACCTCTCTTTGGGTCTCATACAACAGCAACCCCCCAAACGGGCAAACACAGTGCAAAGCAGATCGGAGTCTGACGCCTCTGTCCTTCTCGCGCTGTTCATGGCGCCTCTCTTGGAATTCACGTGCATTGTCGCGGGCTCTCGCGGCCATCTTGGAGCCTACATTACATCCGCTGCGGCCGCCCGGACAGCCTCTCGGGGCCCTCCACGCCCATCTGGGCTGCTTTCTTGGTGCTGTCGTGGGCGATCCTGGGCGCGCCCCGGGGGTCCCTGGAAGCCCTTCCGAGGCCCCAAAACTACTGTGCGATGCTCCTCTCTGTTTTTCTGTGTCCCTCTTGAATTTCCTCCGCCGTTTTCGACGCCCTTCTCGCCCGTTTCCGGGCCCTCCTCTAGGGGCCCTCTGGGGATCTTATTGGGCTCGTCTCCGCGTCTTCTTGGACCCTCTGGGGCCGAACTCTGGACCTCCAAAAGGAAACTCTGGGCTCCAACAGAAAGTGAAGCGGCGGTGTCTACCCCCTCAGGGGCGTTCAATCAAATGAACAGGCACGAAAGGCTTGAATATGCCCTATGGATGTCCATCTTCCCTCAGTTCTTACCTAGACAAGCGCGTCCCACTGCTCACAAAGTAACTGCTGGCAAGTGGCCTGGATCCGCCATGGATACATTGCATCGAAGCAGCATGTGTTTTTGTAAGACGTTTGCGAGGAGGCACTTTGCGAGTAGTGGAACGCGTTCGGTGACGAACGACTCCCGTGCAGTCCCCACAGTTCCCAATTCTTTGATGGAAAGCAGCGCTTTTGTGTCTATGTCGATTGTCCCCTCCTGACGTCATGCAAGGCCCTGGGCCCCCAACAGGACGAGAAGGGATGGTGGTTCTCCTGGGAAGGGCTCCCGGTGAGCCGCGCCTCAGCGAGAATCCCGACCCCGGACATCCGGCGGCATGACTGCTCCAGAGCCCCGGCCACCAGAGGTCTGGACCCCTGTTCCTGGAGAGCGGCTCTTCCTGCGGCGTACAACATTGAAGGGGCCCGGGGACACAAAAATGAAGACACACACGAATCCCAAGAATCCCCAGATGTTTCCCGTATGATCTGGGTGTTCGTCTTCCCCCCTCTTCTGATGTTTTCCAATCTTCTCCTGGGAGTCGACGATTTATTGTGTCTGTGTGTTTCTTTCCCCTCCTGAGGCTTCTCCTGCGGAGTATAGCTCACTGGTCTGTCGAAAGGTCCCAGGACCCGGCAAGCGCAGCCTCTGAGGCCGAAGATTGCCAAAACGCACTCCTCCTGCTGCTTGGTCCCTTC